GTGTTCAAGAGACACTAACTACTTAAACACCTCTCTCACATTTTATCTCCTCCCTCCCCTTCCTCTCTCCCAGGCACCGATCTGTTCTCTAACTGCACAGAGGAGTGTAAGGCCCTGGGCCACTCTGATCGCTGCTGGATGCCGAGCTTTGTGCCCTCCGACGGGCGCCAGGGCCCGGACTACCGCAGCAACCTCCACGTGCCCGGCATGGACTCGGTCTCGGACACAGAGGTATTTGAAAGCCCAGAGCAAACGGCCGATAAGTCATTCTCCACCTTTGGCAAAGAGAGTCTCAGTCACCAACACTTCCACCACCACCACCACCTTCTCAAAAACCATCACCTCAGCCACCACCAGGGCTCCCTAGAGAGGAAAGAGTTGGAGGCATTTCTGCCTAGCTCCAGAGCACCTTATAACCCGGCTTATTTAAGTGAGTATTGTGTTTTGCTCTGGCCTAAGTGCCTGCCCAATCAGCTCGCAGATCTGGTGATCGAATTTGGTGAAATAAATTCCAAATTAAATTTTCTCCTTGGATTGGCCGGCGGAAGGAAGCGTGAAATTCATTTCAGGTCTGACCCCTGTTCTGTCAGAGTGTTTAACTAACTCTTCCCTCTTTCTCAGGCATCTCCATTATCTCCAACTGCAATGATCTTATCTTCCCTCACCTACCGTTTCGATCCCCCCCCCCACACACAACACCAACACACACAGACACACACACACACACAAAGCTCTAGCATTGATTAGCCTGTGGGCCTTTCCAAATTAAACATGCCAAAAGCAATTGTGATCTATAAGGTTGCTTTGATGTGGGTGCAGATGTTAGCATGAAGGAAGCTCTGGTTGCTCTCACAGAGCTCGGCAAAAAAAAAATGGGAAAAGGCGCATTTCCCAAGGAATTACTGTTTCTAAACTCTCATTCAAGGGCCACAAAGAGATACATCCTCAATCACTGCAATTTGGTGATAATGCTTAATTATAATTTTGTCAAGCAGTGCCTGAAGAGGCCCCCTCTCTCATCATCCGACACAGCTAGCTAGAATTATCAAACTGTCAGAGCGCCGCTGCTTCCCCAGTGCCATCATTTAAAACCACAGCATGCTGTTAGGAGCAGCAGGAAAAACGTTCTTTTTTTCCTTTTAATTAATGTTTTATTCATTTGCTGTGCTTTACCCCCCTATTTTTATCCTGGATCAAAAAGTTATATTGAGCAGGCTCCTAAGAGTCACATTTTTTGCTTTTTATGAAGGCTGTGTTCTAGCACGCCGTGTGCCGGCCTCACAGAGGATGGCCAATTTTACGAGTTGAATGTAGGTTAGGATAAGCTTGTACACATTACTACAGAAGACGAAGAATCTGACTTTTAACTCAGGATTAAATTGTTCACATGTGGCTCTAATCGTCTTTTGTAGTAGCAGCAAAAATAAATACAGCAGTGTAAGATGAGCGCAAACCGAATAAAGAACAGTTAAAACAATACAAAATTAAAGCATTTAATGGTGCTGCACAACCCCTTAATGTTGACATCTTTCTGAAAATACAGCCATAATGAGAGGGTTTTATGAGTATAAGACAGGGATGCCCAAAGGTCTGCCATAAGGTTCCAGCAAAAACATTTCTAGCAAAAAAATCTAATAAAAGGCTAAAAATTAGAATTAAAAGTTATTTTTATGCTGTTTTCTTTTTTTGTGAAGCTTTAAATAAGTAGAATCCCTAATTACTATTAACAGAGTGACACTTTGTGTCTAGTACCATTTTGCATCTGAACAGTACAATAGGTGTTTGTATTTGGCTCGTGGCTCACCGTTAAGGCTCAGTTTTGGCCCTCCAGGGGACGAAGGTTGGGCAGTAATAAATTAATTGGACGCAAATTATATGAGCATTATATTGATTATGGTGAGGATCTGAGGTTATTACAGCAGTATAAGGTTTATTTTTTCATGAATCAATGCTATTTGTCACCCTTTTGTCTGTCGGAGTTTTTAAAACAAATTAACCAATTAAAAACCTTTAAACCAACACTACTAACTTTTTTGACTAAAAATTTTCCTGATAAGTAACAATTTTGGACATCCAAGATTTCCATAAAACAGCAGCAAAATAAAATAAATCATTACTTAATTCAGTTTCAGTTTAATTTAATTTATATTGCTCCAATTCATAACAAAATTTATCTCAGGACACTTTTCAAACAGAGCAGGTCTAGACTGCATATAAAATGATTTATGGAGACCCAACCGTTCCAACCATGAGCAAGCACTTGCGACGGCGGCAAGGAAAACTTCCTATTAAAACTGTAGTGTGTAGTAGCTTGTAGTGATTTAGAGATTATACCAACACTATTGAATGCATTATAACAATTACAGAACTTGTGAAATTATACAAAATTATAGGAGCACTGGTGTCATGACAAAGGAAAGGTTGTATGAGTCGAACAGGCGATAATATGTGAGTAGCCTCCACAGCAGCTCTGATGCAGCTGTTTGTAAAAACCTCATAAACTCCTCATGCAGGCAAACATTTAATAAGTTTCAAATTATTATCATTTGTGTGTTTCCCCCTTTACGCCCGTCAGCCACACTGTGTTGTGGCTCCAGCAGTTACCATGGATGTGCTTATTATGCGCTCATGATGCAGCACTCCAATTGAAGGGCTTCTGATATTGCCGCGTTTCCCACCAACACCGCCACTCGTTCTCCTCACAAAGTGGATCACTGTGGCCCTCATGCTAATGAGCGCGGGGGTGGCAGTGTGTGTGTGTGTGT